TTTTTTTTTTTTTTTTGTTTTATATATAATATGATGGGTCGATCTGTCTAACGGTTAGATCGTCTCACGCTTGTTGAATTATAAAAATTGATATAATAATACTCGAAAATTTTCTTTTCTTTTTTTTTCTAGATTATAATAATTGGGCATGGAATTCTCCTAATATTCAGCAAATGTTTTATAAAATTATTGAATCTAAAAAAGGTGCACATTATGTGTGGTTCATCTCATGTCATCATTAATTTGGATGATTGAATGGACGTGCAATAAAAAAGTCAAACTTACATATATATTTCCTAATTAAATTCAACGGTAACAAGTAAATTGCACGATTAATTAGCCCAAAATTTGTACTTTATATTTCCAATTCATAAAAGTATATATATATATAACCTTATAAGCATGTTTTTCATGATTTATACTTAATTTCTAAACAAAAGTGCATGCTTATATTATAAATTATCATAATTTTTCTTATATCATACATTATAGTCCAACATTTAAATATAAAAGTATAAAAATACATTGAAAAAAGTACAATAGTTTAACTATTAACCTGTTTGATAATTTGCAACGTTATATATAATTTGCTATAACTAATAATTTCCTCGACAAAGCGTGTTTAGATATTGTTTCGAGTCATCCATCCTAACTCTTGGGTGCGGGTCGCTCTATCATTATTAGGGCTGTAAATGAGCCGAGTCGAGCTCGATCTTAGGGTGTTCGAGCTCGAGCTCGAGCCCTTACCAAGCCGAGCTAAACGAACCTAAAATAGAGCTCGAGCTCAGCTCGTTAAGGCCTCGAGCTCGAGCCTTAACGAACCGATCTCGAGCTTTAACGAGCCGAACTATAAAAATTATATAAAAATTCTATTTTCGAGTCTTATCGAGCCGAGCTCGCCAAACGAACTTTTAATGAGCTCGAGCTCAGTTCGTTAAGGCCTCGAACTCGAGCCTTAACGAGCCGAGCCGAGCCAGGCTCGTTTATATTGTAATGTACATACTTTTGTTTATATTGTTCTCAAAGTATTATATTTAAATTCCATATAAAAGTATGCAGATTTATTTAAAAACCTATGATTGTCTAATGGTTAGGTCTATCTAACGACCATATTAATAGTCATGCTATTGGTCGATTCCATTCGAGGTGCCGTGTGTTTTTCGATTGTTAGCCAATTTGCAACGGGCGAATTTTTTTCTTATTTTTTCCTCATAGATTAAATGTAGAGGAACAAGTTTTTTGATCCACAGGGGAACCGACTAATCCGAAATCGAGCCGAGTAGGACCACAAGGGCGACAAAGCTCTCCCACAAGAGTTTTAACACTGCTGCATTCTCAGAGCTCGAACACGAGACCACTGGTTAAGCTGGAAGAGACCACTGCTACAATCCATGGAATTTTAACTAATTTAAACTTAACCCTATAAAATATTTGAATGAAAAAAAAAAGAACCAATAAAAATACTACAAATTAATAAGGTTTATATATACCAAGAAAACGTAAAATTAAGACTACCTCTAAAATTGGACGTGATTTAAAAAGTCAATAACGTAAATATTTCCTCAAATTCATTGCCTAGCAACAAAATGCACGATGAAATCTTTACTCAAAATCCAATATTATTTGCATTTTGTCATAATGTATCAAGATAATTACCTGCATGCATTCGCAAGGTTATGACTTATATATATAAACTAATAATATATGCTTATATATATGACTTACAACCAATAATAACTTTAATTATAATTTATAGGCATGCATGCATGCTTTGATGATTAACAAGCTAGGTTATGACTTATAGATAATAATATCTCTCTATATATGTTTATATTAAAAAATAGTTTCATTAGAATCTAATTAAATTAAATTAGTCCCGTAATATTTAAATTTGACCAATTTGAGTGACAATTTTGGTCGAAATGGTGGATTTTAAGAGAAAATCAGCGTCTGATCACATTTTCTAGTCAAAATAGTCCTCAAATAGGCCAGGTAAAAGCTGAGCTAACCACTAAATCACTTCGTGGGAGTATATAAAATTATAAATATAAGAGATGCTACGGTCCTGTTACGGAATCATTCTGTCGGGTTTGTAACCGCTAGATCAATTATCCTCGACGATTACATAATAATCTATTGGTTATAACCCCGATAAAATTGTTTCGTGACGGGAACTTAGCATTTCCCTTATAAATATATATATGCGATATTCACAACTCGCAACTTTCAATTTTTAACATGCAACAAGTATATTTTTTGGTCTATCAATTACAATAATTAATTATCTATTAAACTATTACATATATATATATATATATATATATATATATATATATATATATATATCTCCAATGGTTATATTGTATATAAATTTATTATTTGAGGTGTTTATAGTAGTGCGCTTTAAAGGTATTTCATTTTCATAGCCACAAACAATTCTGTACATATGAACATTTTTTCCATTGAAAAATAAAATAAAATAAAATAAAAGTGTCATTCACACCCACACATACTGAAAACAGCTGCACCCAAATATTCGCATGTCGCGTTTTTTGAGTGACGACTTACGATCATGTCTTATATGGCAGACACCAAATAAGCCACTCACCATGGGAATATATTTGCACACAATGACATGAGTTTCACTCTTTCAATTTTTGGCCCATTTCTCTCCCTCTCCTTTGTAGTAATGTCATTCCATATAAGCTATAATTAGGATGTAAATGAGCCGAAAGAGCTCGAGCCTTTATTAAGCCGGTTGAGCTCGCTTTATTAACATATCGAGCCGATATACGAACCTGATCTCTACTCCTAAAAATCTCTATTTCTTGAGCCTTAACGAGCTGAGTTGAGCTCAACTCATCAACTAATCGAGCCGATAAATGAGCTTCAGCGCAGCTCGCTTATCAAAATTAACCAACCGAACTAGAGTCTTAACGACCCGAGCTAATGTAATAATTCACGAAATTACACAAAGACCCCTATATGTCGGGCCTTAATGAGTCAAGACGAGCTCGATTCGTTTATCAAACAAGTTAA